GTAGTGTATGATACTTACATTTTCTTATAAAACTTTTTCAAACTAGGCACAATGGTCCATGCCTATTCTCCCAGGTACTCAGGAGGCTGAGGCAGGATGATCACAATTTTGAGGGCAGCATGAGCAACTTAGTGAGATTCTGTCTCAAAAAATAATTAAAAAGGGCTGGAGATGTAGTTTACTGGTATAGTGCTTGCCTAGCATGCATTAGAATCTGTGGTTCAAACTTCACTACAACAGCAAAATGTGGATGTAATAATTGACTACCCTAGTTTTCTGTGTAACTATCACTAATTCCTCCATCGCAATTGTCTGACTTTCTGACCAGTTCCTTTCAACATGGTCACATGCATAATCTCTCTTTCTTTCTTTTTTTCTTTGAGACATCTCTTGTAGAAAACTAGGATTTATGTGAACTGATTGTCCACTAGACCTGCTACACAAATTTCATCTTGGAATTCCATGGTCATTTGTGTGAAATGCTAGGATTCCTTAATGCCATGCCTCTCTTACTTTATTTGTTCTCTCAGTTGAATCTTTCTCTCCAGTAGTTTTTCAAAACAGGTTTAAAAATAAGGTATTTCCTATAATGTAAAGGTAGAAATAAACTCGCATTATATTTTGAAATCATACTTGTCACCTATTTCCATTGTTGCTGCTGAGAAATCCAATGCCATTCTAGTCCCAATTCCTAAAACAGAGTCACTTATGTATCTGTCTGATGGCATTTAGGAGGTTTTGCTTACCTCTTGAATTCTAAAGTTTAACAGTGATGTTTCTTGATGTAATCTATTTTTTCCATGAGCTATATCATATTCCATGAGGTCTTTTTAATCCAGAGGCTTAGACCATTAGCTCTGGAATATTTTCTAAATTTCTGCTTTGCAAATTTTCTCCCAATTATTCCTAAGAAATGCTGTTCCCTTCTGAGATGACCAATGAGTTTTCAAATTGTAAATAATTCTCTACAGTCTGTTATTGCCTCGGTTATCTTTCCCCAAGAGTTGTTCTACAATAGTAAGAATCCAAAGAGAGAAAGGAAGACTTCTTCCATCCTGTGAAAACTCTACCTAAAGTCCCACTGAACTTGGATGATCTTGACCCAGAAAACTTATCCCAGAAGATATCAGTCAGGAGTTTCTGCCTTTGTGAAGCCCTAACCTAGTACAGTCGCCATCCCCAGCACCACTCTCTAAAAATGGAGAGATGGAGAAAAGGAAGGAGGGTTAGGGAGGCACAGGAGGAAACTGATGCACGCCCCCAGCACTTGGTATCAGGGTTTTTCATGGTAATGGTGCACGTATCGTTGCTATTGCAGCCGTGATGGGACATTACTTTTGTTTACATGAGTTTTTCTCATACACTAAAAGCTCCAGTAGGAGAGATAGAATGCATTATTTAGGTTCACATTCTGGATTTTTATCAGCCTGTCCCCTTCCCACTAGATAATAAATAAACGCTTCTTTAACAGAGATTGTAATAGAATTGTGCGTCCTATAGTGCCACAGTCTTAATTTCAACCACCAGAATTTCACCTGAACCTTGTTTTCCCTGGACATAGGGTCATCAATAGCAATTATCACCAGTCTCTTCTTTTAATTAACAGTCCAAATTAAAAGATGTATGTTTATTTCAGAAGCAAGTGCAGAGTAGAGCGCGATCATTTTGATATCACATATGGGTCAATGATTCTTGAACTAGAAAATATCCAATTGTCATTTTAGGTATATTAGTATTTAAACTTAGTTTAATATAAGGTATATATTGCATGTCATGCAATGTCTATGTTAAGGAGTACTAAGCCTTACAAAATAGACTCAAAGAATATGTTTAAAGTCACTCTATGTCTAAATAGCCCATGCACTTATATCACAGAAAGCAACTTTGGACATTTCACAGATATTATCTAGAATCACTGCATAACTAGTCATACATATAGCATCTTATAATATTAATACAGTGCTGTTTAATGAGTGTATTTCACAAGGGAAAAAAAAAAACATGAAAATTCACTTCATAAAATCAACACCCAGGAGTGACCTACACTTTTCCAGATCCTGCATCCAAATCCTCAACAGCTGAGCTCATTTTAAATGAAACTACATGAAAAGGACTTAGAAAAGAAATGTAGTAATTTGCAAAATAAGTGGTCAGAAATTTGAAATATAATTTTAAATAAGGCACCCTGGTGAGAAATCCCATAGGGAAAGACAGTTTGGTTTTGTTTCTTTGTTTTTACAAATCTTTTCTCTTACAGATCAGATTTTAATCAGTTCATATAATTTACAAAATGAGTCCATTAAGGTCAGATGATGTGATTGCCACAATCTAATGCTCCTATGTACTAATTATTTTTTCAGCATTTAAATTGAACTATCAATCTTAAAAATTGGAACAGAAATAGGAAGTGTGGGTAGGAAAGTTTGTGGAGATGAAATTTTTGAAAAAAAAACTATCAGACCATAGGTTGAGATGGGCATTCAAAATGTAATGATGTTTACTCTCAATGATCACAAAGAAATTGTGTTTCTTAAGAATAAAAACAGTACTTCATAAGAATAATTTAGAAATGTTCAGAGAATTTAGAGTAGAAAGGAACAGAGAAATGATGCTGTGTGGAATTTCTGTATCTTACAGTCTCTTTCTGCAGTTACTGTTAGATTGAGCGAAATAAGTTAACATTATTGCAAGGACTTGAGGGCAAAATTGTTGTGTATTCTTTTCCCCCAAGAAGTTAGTAAAACCATATATTTCTCCTTAGTTTAAAAAAAAAACAAAACCAGAGTTCAGGCTCAACCTAAATGTAAATGTGGCTTAAGAATGACACAGTAATACCACTTGGCATTTCTTAAGTTAGCCTGTTCTTTCTACCCTGGATAAAAATAAAGAAAAGAAAGCATCTAACACAGAACCGCCCTATTACAACCCAGATTTGCCCAGAAAAGCAGAAATTTTCTGGCCTGCATCTATGCATTTTTTCCACCTTCCGTAGCCTCCCACACTATAATGACTTATACATGGAACTCAGAGACTTTATATTTTCTTTTGAGTACAAAGTGAAGCCCAACACGGAAAATGAGAATGTCGGCCATTTTCAAAGATGGCCATAGACTTTTGAGGGAGCCAAATAGTATCCAGAAAGATATTTGGTCAGCCTGCAGTCCAGATTTCTAGTATAATCCTTAACTTTAACGGTATTTATAAGGTAAAAATATTTACCTTTCCAACATGTGTTTAGTTAGAATAATTTGAAATTTTTGGTGGGGAGTCAAAGTGCTTTTCAAAGACTGAAATGACCCAAAATCAGCACTGTAATTAATCTTGTTTATGACTAAAATCAATAAGCCAATCCATGTTAAGTAGTGATAGTTCCAGTGCAGAATAGAAACTAAAAGTGACTGCTCTTTAAATGGGACTTTTCATTTACCTTCCAGTACTTTGGTTTTATTATGCAATGACATTGGGTTAGTCATTTTTATAAGATTGAGTTTACATTGGTACCATTTGTTTTCTTTCACTAAGGACTTAAATAACTGAAAGCAAAAGAATGGATACTTGGGCAGTGTTTATATTCTGGTTTTATACATGGTTTTCTTGTTTACTTGAATTTTAATAGCCAAATTCAAACAGAAATATACATACTAAACTCCTTAGAAGCCAAAGAGAATGAGACCCAAGTTTTTGAAGACTGGCCCTATTGTTTCATCATGCTTACATCTTCTTTATTGTGTACTTGAATTCCTGCATGAGGAGTTTAAAGTTTTTACATACCAAAGACATGTGAGGAGAGGGAGGGAGGCAAAATCTCATAATTGCATGGATACAATTAACTTTATTGACTATCTGAGCCTGGTCTTAAAACCAGGATCTAATTTGATTATGGGTTTACTTCCTACATATATATCTTTAGTCAGGTTATTTATTTTTTAAATTTCAACACTATAGCTTGCTTACTCATAGTAGCATTAGTAGGTCTCATGAATAGAAGTTAGCTAATTTTTTAAGATTCCACAATCCTAGCTTGCTAGCTAATAATAGCAGTAATAGGATGAATGAACAGACCTATCTCTACTAAAGCATTATAAATGGTATGTTATGCTGCCTTATCCAGGAATGTTAATATGAGCAGAACTGAATTATCCTGTGTTTCTTGGTCATTTATGGAGTACATGCATCCCAATCACTTGGGATTGGTGTTAGCTCTTTCACACACTAATACATTACATATGCTGTCTCTATAGCTTTAGTTTTGCATGAATAGCTCCCTGGTGGCCTTTGTTTCCATTTAAACAAAACAGTTAATGTATTTCTTTAATGACCTGTGTTCACAAAAAGTAAATTAGAAAAGCAGGCAAGCTAGAGCAAGGACTTTCTTCCCACAATTTTTGAATATTGAAATTCAAATATTTTCTTAAAGAAGCTTTGTATTTATATATTTATTGATTAATAAACTAGCTCAAATGCTTTTAAAAGTGTTGCTGATAATTTTTGACTAGTTATGTTAAATGAAAAAATATTTCTAGCATTAAAATTCTTTTAAAAATAGCTCTGTTAGAAAGTGTAAATAAGGACTAAAAGGTATAATAGATAATTTGAAATAGGAAGAAAAGTCACAAAGGGGAAGGGGAAATGGGTAGGGGCAAAGAAAAATAGATGGGAATGGAACTAGCATGAGAAAAACACAAATGGAAGCAGTCTTCTTAGATAGGGAGGGCTGAAGGGGTTCAAGGGAGGGCAGGGGAATGGAGGAAAAAATAAGAACCCAAATGGATTATGTAAAGGTGCAAATTTCCAATGATGGATGTCACTGCATTGTATCCCTTAAATGTACCAATAAAATTAATTAATTGGAAAAAATAGCTTTGTTGAAGCTATTAATCAAAAAATTCATAAAATCTTACCTCTGCCTTCATAGCACAGATTAGGTGTTCTCTTGTCCAAGGTATACTCTGATTTTGTCAATGTATCCATAACAATACATATGTTTACATTTTTAATAGGTGGTGAAATGACAAAACTCACTCTCTTCTATTCATGAGTTGGAAATAATCTTTCATCAAGTTCCATCTGCATTAACCTCATATGGAGCGTATCTCTCTGTCGGTTGTTAAACTATGAGGACATGTCTGTAGCTGTCAGAAAGAGAAGCTGGGAAGAACATGTGACCGAACGGATGGGACAGCCTTTTAATACTGATAACAGTGACACAGCATGTCATCATGGACTTGTAGCCGACAACTTGCAGGCAAGTATGGAAAAAGATGCAACCCTAAATGTGGACCGTAAAGAGAAGTGTGTCTCACTCCCAGACTGCTGTCATGGAACGGAGCTGGGAGATTTTCCCGGGAGGCCCATGGGTCACGTTTCAAAGAAAATGAACGAAAATGACAGCTATGAAAGTGAAGATCAGTTTCTTTCTCTGGAGGCCAGCACGGAAACATTAGTGCATATTTCTGATGAGGATACTGATTCTGATCTGTACCTTACAGATAATAAACCGATTTTAACTTCCCAAGAGCATAAAATCTCAGGCCAAAATAGTGTTGAAGGAGCAGGCTCCTTAGTAAATACATTGCCCATCACAGAAAGTAGCCATGATTGCTACAGCTCTTGGGGAATTGCTGGCAAGGCTGATTTAGCACTAGCAGGAGAAAATGGGGAAAGAAAAGTTGTTGACACTGTAAGTAAAAGCCTGGAGCTTTGTGATGATATAAACATAACTGAAATTAAAAATATGCCCCAAATAAATGCATTTTATTCTATGAATGTGAAAGATATTGTGCCTGAGAAGCAATTGGTGAATTCTGCTGTAATTGCTCAACAACGAAGAAAACCTGACTTCCCTAAAGATGAACATGAGAAAGACACTGGCCATGAATTACAAGACGAGGTCTTGGCCGTTCCTTGTACGGATGGAGGATTGCCATTGTTAAAAGCAGATTTTGGAAGCTCCCTTCAGCAGCCTCCTTCTGGCTCCAGTGGTGCTGAAAATGACCTGGAGAAAAGTGGATTCTCAGAACATCAAAACAAAGTCCCTTCTGAGGTCAGTGCAGAAGATGGTGTGCAGTGTTTACTTGTAAAGGACACTCCGGCCACCCAGGAGCCCACCGATGGCCAAGTCAGACTTCGTAAGAGAAAGGTAAGACATGTGCTTAGATTATCTGGATTTTGAAATTTTGTAAATATCCTTATTTTCATCATTTAGTATTTTTGCTGGGATTAAAAAGTATGTAGATGTTCATTTTGCCCTACAATGCAAAGGCATAATTTTTAAAGATTATCCACGTGGTCAAACTATCAAAGTACGTAAAATTTAAAATACAGTAATCTTTTATTGTGCTAATAGTATTTCAGGAGTTTGTAATCATTCTATTTTGGAATTGTGTTGAGGCAGGATTTTGTCTTAATGTGGAATTGAATAGCTGACACATAACTCGTAATTATGGAGTCCAAGGCGTTCTGAAGAGTGACATCTAATATCGTCATGCTATTTCTTAATAGCCTTCACTTTTTTTTTTTTTTTGGTACCTGGGAGGGCCTTTCTCTTTTTTCTTTCAAAAAGTATATGTTTATCAAAAATAAAATGGTATGTTACATTTTTAAAATAAACCCTTTAATATTCAGAGGCAACAAAGCCCCTTTGTCCCAGATGTGCTAAAACTATAATTATGATAACCTGGCCCATTCACCATCAATATGCACATCATGATCTGTTTCTTGCCACAACTTTTCTTTAAGAATTAATCAAAGATGGCCAATAATGAAAATTAAGGTTTTTGTATGAAGGACCTTTTCATAAATTCTAGAAATGCCACGCTCCCTAAAAAAGCTGCATGTGAAAGAAGCAACCTTAGACTTTCTTCACAAAATGTAGGGCTACATAGTCCTGATATAAATCCAATTGCAGGATCTTCTCCTATACGTTCCACGTGGCATTGAAGGAACTCTTGGACGCTTTGTGAAATAGTGAAATCATAATTTCTAGCCTCTCTCAGTATAATCTTAACCCATAACTGCAATTCTACTGAACTCAGATCAATATTCTTAGTTCTATTTAAGTGGTACTGTCTACCTACCAAGAAAGGTGGGGAGGGAAGGTGTTCTCCAACTCTCTTTGTGGTGAAAAAGTTCTGGTTCCTATAAACTGTCGTTTTGCTAACAAACTAGACCACCAATGTGTCATGAGATAGTTTAAGTGAACTAAAAGACTTTATAGCAAAAAAACACTGCTCAAACAATATGCCAACAAGTATTCTGCACTCCTAGCAAATTCTGTACCTTACACAAGTTGTATTAAAATGTTAATGCTCCATGACATGCTCAATTGACATGCTCAGATCGATTTTTTAAAAATTTCCATACATTCCGTCAAATCTTTTGGAGGGAACGCAATAATGATGTAAGAAAGTATTAACTGACCTATGACTTAGTTCCCCTAAAATAAGACAAATCTTACCCAACTGTTGACAGAAACATTAAACATTCCCCAAACATATGCTCACCACTTGGACATTTATATCAATACTAGGAATGCTGAGAAGAATTTATCCTTGGACTTGTTAGTATTGCATGGTTGCATTTTGGGAGCTATAATTATATCCTATTTACAAGTTGTAACTTAAATATTCTATTTTAAGCATTTCAGCACTCTAAAATGTTGTGGTATTGTCTGGCAGAATATTTACTTTGACTCTATAACCCATTTTAGGATGCCTTGTAATGAAGCAATTAAGTGTAAAAGTTAAAGTTCAAAATTTAATTCAGGAAAATATACTTGTGAGAGAAGACTGTAGAACTAAATACACAGGGATTTTTTATTTATTCAATTGGCAATTAGCCATTTTAAATCTTTGCCAAAGAAATAATAGAATATATTCAGGAAAAGATATATTCAGAGTTGTATTTCATGTTAATGCAAACAAAGAAACTAGCTTAAATTTCCATCACTAAAAATCTGTTTATCTTTAACTATTGTATGGAAAGCTATATAGCCATTAAAATGATCAAGTGAGATCCATGTGCATCAATTTTGAAAGATATTCCTGATATAATATATCTATAGTAGTGACAAACAAATATGTATAACATATCCGAACCTTTTGTGGAAAAGTCTAATGAAAGCAAATATTTATACAGTTTTACAAAGAGTTACAAGCAAATACTTCCTTTTCAGTTTTGTTTTTGTTTTTGGTTTTGGTTTTGGTTTTTTGTTTGTTTGTTTGTTTGTTTTGGTACCAGGGATCAAACTCAAGCCCTTGCACTTGTGAGGCAGGTGATGCAAACACTGAGCCAAATCCTTGGCCCAAATACTTCCTTTTTAAAGTCAGCACAGCTAGTTTAAAGGACATAACACTTTTTCAGGGACACATAAGCCACACTTTCATATCTGCGAGGCATGAGGCACTAGATACTAATGCTTAATTGTGTCTTTAAAACTATTTGTCAGCCAGGGCGAAAGCTGTAAGATGACAGCTTGGAAAAGTGAAATATAACAGAATATAACACGTTTTTAGTTAGAGAACTTTAATCAGCTCATTATTTGGTGAACATGTAAATGAACAAAATTCTTCATTGAATTTCAGAACCTGAAGCTCTTGTCAGGATATAAACACTCCAGATTCTACAACAACCAAAACTGAAGAGCTTATAAGAGTAATGCTCAGAATGTATTAAAATATTGCTCTAGATATATCACCATTCCTTAGGTATACATTATCATGCTTTGTAACCCATGAATTTGGCAAGCATTTGTTTTTTCGACAGCTTGTTTTTCCTTGGTGTCCAATATTTCTGACCAGAAGAGCCCCACACATATTTATTATGAGTTTCTTAGAGATTGCCTCTGTAGTATATCTAAACGTTGACCTTTTGAGCTAGTGATTTCCTTAAATATGAGGAAGTAGGTCATGAAATTGAAGCCACTGAAATCAAAGGAAAACCAAGTGGATCGAGAGCAGATGTTAGCATTTGAGGCAGAAGGTCCCGTGGTGTATGACGAGGACTCATAGAGCTGGGGCTGTATCTGCAGGGTGAAACATCTGGTTAAAAGCAACTCTTCGAGGCAGAAACCAAAGAGGTCTGGAGAAAGTAGACAGTCTAAAATGTGGTATCTTTAAACCAAAAGACATGTGAAGATGGAAAATATGTAAAGAAAGATTTAAAGTTAGACTTTCTTTTTAAGATTTGTCATTGCCTGTGGTTTACTAATTAAAGGGTTTTGAATAATCACATTGTGAATAACCATAATAATGATAAAATGTACAGTCATATTTTATTGGCTCACATAAAACAAAATATAAACCATATTCAAAGCAAAATAAACTCACAAAGATATTACAAAAATGATACAGACTTTGCAAAGATACCTACATCCACATTCCAATAAAAATCCCACATTCCAACAATAAACCAATTTTAGGTTCTCATGCTATCGCCCTATATTAGACTTGACTGCTATTGCTAAAAGCCAGCATAGTAGTGGCTTTGAAAATCTGTTTCTTTCAACACATGTAACGTTAGCAGTATCCTGTTTCAACATGTATATTCTATGTTTTCAGAACTTCCGACACCTTTTTATCTAATTGTCCTTCTCTCTTGGCATAGGTAAAGGAGACGGGGGACTACACCGCCATGTACAGGCGAGCCTCCAAAGATGCACATTTCTTTCTTTCACATTGCAAGGGCAAGGTCTTACGGGCACGGCACTCTAGTGATGAGGGCTGTGGCCTGGAATCTGCATTGGGGGCAATCAGGTATCTCCAAAAACTTTATCATTGTGAAAGAATGGAATCACCTATATTGAAGGATAACTCATAAATATACTCAAGAATAACAACCAACTTAAATATTGCCCAGTATATTATGGCATGCCATGAAAGGAATAACTAGGTTGCATATAAGTTCTGTAGTACTCTATATAAATATTTGGCATTTCAAATACTTGGTTCTTTCATTTTACACTGTGGTATCTAAAACTGTTTTACTTATTGAAAGGATATTAATTACATGTTACACTATCTTACATAAAAACCTTCTAGGGGTACAACATTTCTATATATATATATATATATATATATCAAGGGTCTGGAAAACATGACACATTAATTAGCTAGTACGGATATAAATAAATGTATTCTTCTTACACTACCTTTGAAATATGTATTAATTTTGTAAAATCACACCCATTTTTTGGTCCATTTCCTCTATGTCTATATGGGAGCCTTGTAATAATATAAGGGTAACACTGCCAATATAGGTGATAAAAGAAAGAGAGTAAATTATGTAAAAAATGGACGACAGTAAGAGGCTGGATGGGAGAATATAATAGAGAAGAAAAGAATAGATCAAGACATAAAAATCAAAATGATAGGTAAGCTAAGACATAAGCTAATAGCACAAGAAATATTGAATAAAAGCAAACAGTAGGTGAAGAATGCAGGTTTGTGGTTAAATCTTGAATCAGTTAATAAGAGAGGAAAGAAATGGAATGCAGGGCAAGTATACATAACTCTGCAGATGAATTCATAATAATAATAGAACTTTACATTAAGGTCACACTGGCTTTAACATCCCAGCTGAGCAGAGTATATTTTCTAAATCCTCTTGTTTTTGAAACATTCAAGTTTTAAATTATTGTTGCCCTTTGCCACAAAAGAACCAATTAATTGTAACTAATTAGTTATCCCACAATTGGAGAGACATAAATATCGTGCAGGATGTGCTCAGTAGCCTGGGGAGAGGCATGAGCAAGTGTGGATATACAGAAGGAAAACGTTGGAACACGCTTTTACATTTATTTTATCCTTTAATTTTATGCATCTTATAAGATATAGGCTGCATTAGGACAAAAGTGAATGTGCAATATTTTATCAGTAAAATGCTCACTGCAAAATACATAAGCAAAGACATGGGAGGCCACAGTTCTTGAAATTTTATAGCTTTTCTGGTGAATGTTATTTTGAGGAAGTTGGGAATGAAGTGAAAGGGAAATGAATAGCAGAGTAGAAGACCACAAGAAATGCGTGGGGAAGATTAAGGAACATTTATCTAAAGAGTGGCAGATAATAGTAAATTTCTCTTCAATTTCAGTGTGAATACTACCTGAAATAGGAAAATTTACTGCCAGTTGCCCCTAAGGCA